AGTTATTTTAGTAGAGATGGGCCGAATATGGATATCACCGAATACGAATATTCGGCCAAAAGTTCGGTAAAACTTTTACCGAATCGAATATTCGGCCGAACATTATTCGGCAGGATTACCTCGATACCTAACCAATATTTATGTTGAATCTTTTTACCATAAATTACGCGGTATTAACGCTGGACCCTGCCCCTCGCTCCCCCGCCACACCTGACATGTTATTGCCTCATCTAGTACTGAGCAAATTACCGACACATGCTTATGTTTTGACTATTTTTGTGAGAAAAAAAAAGTATTTCGTTGTGTTTTTCTTAGTAAAAATTGGGTATCATATCATAAAAATGAGTGGCAGGAGATTTACTAATTGGACTTATTTTAGAGAAAAATACGACAAAAGTAAAGTGAAATGTACTAATGTAATATAATGTTTCTCTGTTTGATTCCAAAAAACATTTAATCAAGCTTTCTATTTGCTTTATTTGGAAATAAATCCACAGTACCTCAAAAACATAACGCTATACAAGTAGATTTAACCCATAAATAAAATATATTTTCAAGAGTAAAATTATGAAAGACATGGCATTACTAAATTCTTACATTTTAATAAAGTGGAAACTTTGAGTACCACTTTAACAAATGTTCGGTAATTTTGTCGAATATGCCGGATACCAAATATGAAACGAATAGTCCCAGAGCCCATCTCGAATTTTCTGTAAGTATGTACTTAGATGTGCGTTTCTATGACGAGTCCGTACACTTACAGAAAGCCATGCTGTTTTGATGTCTATTACAATCTGCTTAAAAAACATTTAAAAGTGGAAAATTTTATGCGAATATCAACATACGACCTATTGATACTGTAGCATCTAACTTACAATTTAAGATGCGCTATCAAAAGAGACATCTTGTTCGATAAATCGCATCGTGTTGGGCTATCAACTCGAACAATTTTGCTTTTATTGGTGTTATCTCTGGGTGGCTTTATGTATCGACACTTTGTCTTACTTGTCACTTTTTAAACGGTTACCGTGAAAATAAATGCCGTGTTGACCCTTATTTTACTATAGATATTTTCTTTAAGGTAATTTATTTTTTTATATAATATGGGTGACAAACGAGTACACATTGCACTTGGTGGGTGGATGCTGTGACCCATAGGCATCTATATCTATTCCCGATTAAGAATCAAAACGCAGATGCGTTTTCACCCCTGAGGACTAAGATAGAATGCTTTAATACTAGTAAAAAGGGTGTCTGGTTCTCTACACTCACCATACGAAACACAGCAGCATTAAGCTGCTATTTTACGCTGGTATTCTGTGAGAGCGTGGTCTTACCCCGTTCAAGCCAGCCCATTGGTGGTGTAACAATAATTACCACGTCATATAAACAAAATTTAAGTGTTAGTGCGTAATACCGAAAAAACTATTTTATATTGAGCCGAGCCAATAACTATTTGTTTAAATTTTAAACTACGGAACGGCTTAACCAATTGTAATGAAACCTCACTACGATATAGCCCGGAGTGATCTAGGCTATATTTTACAGACATAGAATACTATAATACATACATAATAGAACGGGGGAGAGAGCGTAGCCCGCGTAGCCACTACAATGTCACTAACATGGTTTCAATTCACACGAATAAATGTCAATACGAGTACGAGATGTGTTTTGAAGTTACAATCGTTTCCAAATTTCGTATGCAAATTATTTAGAAAATACCAAATTGCACCCTATTTACAGATGAATATGTGTTAAAATTTAAACGATTTTTTTAATGATGATCTTGAACCTTAATCAAAAGTCTAAAATGTGTAAATTTACTCAGTCTGTCAACATAGCGAATCGGGTCTGGCGACGCCAATCCTTGTACAAAATAAGGCCGACAGCCATTCTATTGAATATTATAGTATTTTATGTTTATAGATCATACCCGGGCAAAGTCAGGGCGGATTGCATGTATACAATAAAAATATTAACTAACAGCTATCAGCTATTAATATGTTAAAATATTTAATATCGTATTTTATAAGGTACATACATTTTAATATTTTTTTTCCTTTTTATTTTTAAATAAAATTAAGTAGGTAATTGCCATGTGGAGAATCCACTACCCTCACTCTACATCATCTACATCATCTCGTCGCAATCGTAAAAGGCGACAAAGGGTCGGGTTGTTGTAGCACGAATACATCGGCTCGACCGGGGCAGGGCCACGCTCTCACAGAATACTAACGTGAAATAGCAGCTCAAAACTGCTGTGTTTCGTATGGTGAGTGTAGACATCATCATACGCACTAAGCACTTGTCATTTGTCAGTTGCACTAGCCACTCGCACTTGTCACTTAGTTACTTCGGTTTTATAAAAAAATAATGCTTACAAAATTGAATTTATAAGATTAGACTTAAAAATTTTCTGTTTAAAAACAATAATGCGAGTCTTTAAGAAAAGAGTAAACAGCCTATTTTATGCTTATCTTCAGGTTTTCTATGTTCTTTGAGTGTTATCGTATATAGCACATGCTTCTAACTATAGTACGTGAGGGTAATATGGTCATCCGGTTACAATGGTCGCTTTATCATAACTCCCAAACTAAAGCCTTGTTTGCATAGATAGCTCTGTGATACGATAGCTCCTCATCAGTCAAATAAATAATATAATGTTAAAAAGGCTCTGTTTTATCAAATTCATTTTGACAGTTGATATTATAGTAAACATTATAGTCGATTTTAGTATTGTGTAGGCACTGTTGTTAGTTTTTTAAGTTGATTTTTCGAAGTGTCCCTAATTATTGCCAGAGGGTGTTTGCTATTCTCTCTCTCTAGTCGGTCCCTCTTGACTGAGGATCGTGATCACCATCACGGAGAGTAAGTTTATTGTTTATGATCTCTCTCCACCGGGTCCTATCGCTGGCCATATGGAGAGCGTCGTAGAAATTTCGCGCACCGACTTCTGACTTCTTGACTTGGTCGGACCACCGGGTTGGAGATCTACCTCTGGGCCTTCGTTTCCAACAACTATCAATTTCTCAATACTTTCGTCCCCGCGACGAGAGATATGACCAAAATAGCTGAGGATGCGCTGAAGACATGTGGTGGAAAGACGCGTCTTGATCTTGAGTTGTGATAGGATTGACACGTTTGTGCGCTTCGCAGTCCACGGTATTCGCAGCATTCGCCTCCAGCACCACATTTCGAACGCATCAATTCTCTCCCTTTCTCTGGCGCGTATAGTCCATGTTTCCACTGCATAGAGAAAAATTGGAAATATAAGAGTATATACTAGGCGTAATTTAGTATTATTTGTTATGCTTCTGTTCCTCCAGATGTTTGTCAGCCTGGTCATCACATCCTTAGCTATTGCTATTCTATGTTTAATTTCGGGAACGCAAGTGCCCTCATTTGAGATCAGAGATCCTAGGTATATATAATTCTCCACAACGTCGATCCCTTGAATGTTTGCTATTATTAGTCTTCAATGTAGTAGTTTTCAGTATACAACTTTGTGTTTTTGTCTCTGTACTCCTCCTAGTTTTGGTTTTATAGGGCGGCAAAGCATAATGTGACCATATTACCCCCATGTACCTTAGTAATAATAAATAATAAATGAGAATCCAAACATTAATATCATTATGGCCTAATAAGTAAGACTTAATAAGCGAAAAGGAGAGGAACTTAGCATGCTAAAGTATTTAATTTATTACCCATTCAGCGTGTATATAGATTTTTTTAATAACATAATATAATTGTCGCGTGATAGCGGCGCAAGAAAATCTATCATCCCATTTCGTCCCGATGGTGTCGTAAGGGGCTACTATGGGATATGCTAAAGAGATGTAATAGCTTTCGATAGATGGCGGTTTATTTATTATGCTAGATCTAATGAGGTAAATGCGATAGGTAGCACCGTCAAAAAAGTGAAACGTCTGGAAATGCGATAGAAATGGACTGCCAATGGGAAATTTTCTCCATAATGAGCGGGACCCATTTACAGAAGTGGTCTTCTACGGGTGATGAAGAAAAAGAAAGAGAAAGGAGTAAAAGTAATATTGAAAATAATAAGCGTTGTATATTTAAGTACTAGGTTAGAATAAATTGTTATTATAGTGTATTTTTATCTTTATGTTAGGTGCTCTATTGTCTCGCTCTCATATTCGTCGCATACCTAAATTAAATTATCAACGATCGCTTGTAAACCAACACCGCATGGTTATGATGGCCTGGTATCAGGTGCCTAACGACGCACTGTCCCGTAGGTACGCCAGCGACACCGCACTCGATGTATTACGACTTTTTAATGGCCCCTAAAGATTAACGAATGAATGGGTAACATGAGATCCGACGCCGTTGCACTCGGAAAACATAAACAGTTTGTCCACGCTTGTGATTGTTGGTATCCGGATGATAAAATTTGGTGTTCCTAATGACGAACACGCTTATTTGTTGTTGTAGACGAGATAAGATAGTTCTTAACGCAACGTATTCGCTAATTATTTAAATTCAAATAATAAACTATTTTGTGTCTCTGCGAAAATTTTTCAGGAAGACGCTGTTTATCTCATGGTTTGTTTACTTCTATCGCCTGTCTATTACGACGTCCTCGGAATTAAATTATGTAATGATGATAGGTAAAGACTGTTCTTAGATCACCACTAGGTTTAATTAGTTTATGTCGTCCGTCATAAGTTAGAACAATAAAATTTTGCTAGTTAATTTCACAATCATTCTATATTAGTAGTTATTTACTTAAAAGTACAAGGGCATATTAGTTAGGTTGTAGTGCAATCTAAATTCTAAAACGTAAAGCTTCAGTTATTATTATATACAAACTTAAAGACTCAACTACTATTAAGCTATAAACCATATAAACGATGTTCGTTCTCACTTAAAAATAATCAATACTACGTGCAAGTCATGCAAAAAGTAACTACTTCATAGCATTCCGTGTGTGACAGCAGTTAAAAATATTCAGTGCATTATCATAATCAGACTCTGACCTTTGGTTCGGTGTGGTCCAAGCTGCACCTCGGGGACGCGCCGCCGAGGTAGCTACACGGCATCAATGTCACCATGATTCACTCACACTCTATTTACCGATGACACTGACAGTTTTTTTGGGGGGAAACGGTTTCCGAGCGGCCATTTTGTTATACTTTCGCTTTCGAAGGTACGATCAAACAGTGTCCTGTTCGGCAGATGATTGTTTCATAATCATAATCCATAGCTTATAATACCTATGAAATTGAAATGTCTAATATTTAATTATGTTTAACTATTACATACTTTGTATCATATTTAGTATGCGTATTCTGACAGGTAGAGTCTGTGCAAAAAGAAAAAGAAAACGTACATAACTTAGATACGCATGCTCGATTATTTTGCATTTTGTAATGTTCATATGATTATGTAGGTAACTGTCTTATATCTTGTTTGCTTTTTTATAATATAGGGTGACAAACGAGCACACAGTCCACCTGATGGTAAGTGGTTGCTGCGTCCCATAGACATCTACATCTATCTTTGATTAAGAATCAAAATTCAGATGCGTTGTCACCCGTGAGGCCTAAAATGGAATGTCTTATTTCCAGTAAAAAGGGTCTTCGGTTAATGAAGAAATGAAAATAAAAATAAAAAGAATAAAAATGTTAATAAAGTGCGGCTGTAAAATTTTAATAGAATAATTTACAGTATCCTTAGACTTTTACACACGTTTGTTTTCATACCTGAATTATAATTCTAATCCGCTTTTACACATATAAGTACTTTTTATTACGTATGGCAATTCGAAAGACACTTGTTAATCGTTCTGTATAAGAGAATTAGAAAATATCATCTGACATCTTAACGTTATAAAGCCGTGATGTTATGATTATTATTTATTATACATATACGTTGAAGAGCCACACTGCGGCTGTATCTCGGTAAGGTCTCGACCGGGGAAGGAACGGGCTCTCACAGAACACTATCGTAAAATAGCAGCTTAATGTTGTGTTTTGTATAATGAGCGTAGAAAACCTGTTCTTAATCCAGAATAAATGTAATGTCTACCTATCTCAGCATCCACTTACTATCAGGTGGACTATGCCATTGTTTATCGTTTAAGACGTTTTGTACATTTCGTGCTGCTGATCGTCGCCAAAAATGCCCAGAAGTATTTTACGTCTGATTTAAACGTTAAGGCTATAACCACCGTTTATCATATACACAAGATTTTTCTACTGCTGTTTCGTATTTTCAAATATCTATGGATCTTGTAAACACTAGGTCCATTATGTGCTCGATTGTAATTCTCATTCTACGTTAAACGTGCCTTTAATTCATTTAAGGTCGAATTACTTATTTATATCTTTGGAATACAATCATAAGTAATGTCGGCTAAAGGCTAAAGGGAAAAGTGTTCAGTTAAACATGTGAAAGGTGGTTCGCAGCGGTTTTTTTCTACAAATTTTGGGCCAAAAATCACCATCGGCCACGCTACGTCGGTGGCTAGTTATTGAGACGCTGTTAGTCATCGCCTTAAGCTGAACAAAAAAGAAAACAAAAGAGAAAAAAATTTACGCACGTTTGGTTAGACTAGGGTCACCATTTTGCTTATAGTTTAAATAAAAACACGCAATAATGTAGTAAAATAATGATTTATAGCAAAAGTAAAAAGTAATGGATTGACAACGATATTTGTTATCAATTATGATGCCCTTAAATAAAAATATGTTTTTTATTTTCGCTTTATAACATATTGCTAAATAAATAAAAAAATAAAATATACCCAAAGACTCTAAACCACCACAAACCACCATGGTTTGGTCATGTAGAAAGAATGAATGAGGAAAGAGTGACAAAGCAAATTTATGTGGCAGATGTAAACGGCCGAGTCGGGAAGGGACGCCCTAGAAAAAAGTTTATCGACCAAATTGGCGATATTTTGAATATGGATCTAAAGGAGGCGAAAGAGGTATGTCAGGATCGTGCCAAATGGAAGTCCGTAGTCTCTGCCTACCCCTCTGGGTGACAGGCGTGAGTGTTTATGTTTTTTTTAATGTTTTTATTAAGACTCCAATTTTGGACTATTAATTCAAATTGCCTTAAATATGTGCATATTATCAATACATCTATTCAAGAGTGCCTTAAATCAGTTATTTTCTATATCTGTATCATGCTTATACATACTTAAATAATATCTCGTGTTTTAGTTACAAATTTTCAGGTCATGTATGATTTGTCATTAAATAAAGAAAAGTCTGTAGAAACGTTTTTAAATTTCCTAACCTTATCTTTCGGTAATATTTAACTATCTGAAAATTTAAAAACAAGATGGTATTCCTATGTTCGACCACCCACATGGTACCGTCAAAGTCAAATGTCGAACCACGAACGTGTTCATCAAGTTGTCAAATCGAGTTTGACGTAATCGAGAATAATATTTTTTTAATGGTAAGTATTTTTTATTCGTTCTCACTAGCTTCTGTGTCTTCAATATAGATTCCGACAGCAATTATTAAATTAAAATAAATTACCAAGTAAGTTTTATGATAGGAAATGATTATTTTTGCATGAAATTAAATATATATAAAGTCACAACTGAACATCATCACCATCAGCATTAAAATCCTTCACAAATCCACTGCTGAACAAAGGCCTCCCCAAAGAAATGCTTTAAAGCACGGTCCTGCGACACTTGTCCATCGACTGTTTGCATGTCTTACGTCGTCACTTCATCTAATGGGGGGTCGCACTACACTACGCCTACCGGTACGAGGCTGCCACTCAAGAACCTTTCTTCCTCACCAGTTGTCGGCTCTTCTAGTTATACGGCCGGCCCATTGCTACTTCAGATTACTAATCCGTATAATCCGAAATAATTTATTCATCTTAATATGAGAAAGTAAAAATAATGTCCCAAACAACCCCATTTAGATGTTTATGAAGTTAAAATATCCTCTTCCAGTTGGTTTACTTTGTAATATTTAAATAAGTTGGACGACAAGAGTACTTTTCTTGCGACTTTTGATTAGTAAGAAGCCAACGTGTGTAATTTAACTGAAACGGTTAGATTAAAACATGATAATTAAAAAAAAAATGAAGAAGCCTTAGCAGCTAAAGAATGTTGATGGTGACCACCATTAATATTTAAATTTTATAAATATTATGGAGAGATACGAGAGATGTGAATTGAGAACGTATAATCCGAACCGAATAATTTAACAGTTCTAAAATAAAAGCTAAATAGTTTTAAAGGTTTTTATTTGTTACTTATTAGTTTATAGTTTTTTTTATAGAATAAGGGTGACAAACGAGCACGCAGTCCACCTGAATGTAAGTGGATGCTGTGGCCCATAGACATCTAAATTTATCTTCGATTAAGAATCAAAATGCAGATGCGTTGTCACCCATGAGGACTAAGATGGAATTCCAGTCAAAAAGGGTCTCCGGAACTCTACACTCACCATACGAAACACAGCAGTATTAAGCTGCTATTTTATGCTTGTATTCTGTGAGAGAGTGATCCTTCCCCGGTCGAGTCGACCCATTCGTGCGACAACCCTAATATAGCTGCAGCGTAGCTTTACCACGTATATAGTCATAATTCGTACGTACTCCGTACGTGTTAGGAATACTGCAATATTTCGTTTTATTGTTGACTAGCAACCCATCCCGACTTTCCCTGGATAATATCTATTGTGTCATTATTTAGCATTAAGATAATCAAAGGCCATTTCTTTTATAAATTTTTCCGTTTCAAAAAAAAAAAAAGAATTTTCGGGTAAAATATAAAGCCTAGATCTCTCCTGGCATTGCTATTTATCTGTTCGTAAGGGTTCATCACAATCCCTTCAGCCAAAGACAGACGTCTTTCCGAGTTAGTCTTCGGTAGACAAAAACTAAAAAAATGGTTATATTACAGACAGACATTTATTTATATGTATGTATGTATGTTCGGACTTCAGACCGAATTTCGGTCATGGCGGCCTGCCTCAACGGAGACTAGCCATCGGCGCAGGACAGGATTATAGTGCCCAAGTGTATGCGCAAGCACAGGTGCACTCTCTATTCCCTCACTCTCATAATCCGATAGGACGGTCAACCGGGGGACGGGACCGGAGAGAGATCAGGTGCAAGACCAACGGTTTTACGTGCTTTCAGAGGTACGGGGATGATACACCGCCTACTTCCTGACTCCGGGCAGCTACTGAGAACTTGACGGAAAAACTCAATAATTGATTCTATGGCCCGAGCCGGAATTCGAACCCAGGTCCTCATGATCAGCAGTCACACTACTACAACAACTAGACCAACGAGGCGGTCATATATATACATATATATATATATATATATATATATATATATATATATATATATATATATATATATATGTATAGATAAATAATCATCATTGAATAAAAAGGCGGCACCCTAATGCCTGTTGTCTAAACTCACATGCCCTCGAATTATTTCAAAGTTGTCATGTACAATTTAAAAACACTTAAAATTTACCGTTACAGCCTATTTGAGTCTATTACTGAACATAGTCCTCGATCCTCGTAGATTTAGTGGTTGCCACGCTTCGAAAGCGGGTTGGCTACCGTAGTTTTTTTAATCTTTTGTCGTTATTTGTAAGACGCTGCTTCGCATCTCCTGTTAGTCTCCCTCTGGCGCCTCTTTCTACACCCACGGGATGATATTATGGGGTAGTAGATATTCTTACACCGCCGCAACATGGTATACTTAAAATTTATTTTTTACAGTTCCAGTGGTACCCACCGCGATTGGACTTGCGTTTTTGGTATTATTAGATTAAGGTGGAGTGCTAACAATAATGATTCATTTATTTCCGGCCAGTTCTATATTTGTTAAAAATTTATAATATAAAAACCTTCAATCCACATTAAATTAAATAAAAATAAAATTAAACTAGCAAACAAAATTAAAAGACGATTCGATAGCAGCCTTGTTAGATTTAAAAGTAATTTTTATAACACCCATGTAACATCTCAGGGAGGAAGGAGTGCCTGAAAACCAGCGCTTCGTGGGATCTTAGTTCCATGTAAGCAAAAGCTGAGTCACCTCTGTTTAC